CAGAACTCAGGCCTCCCTGGGGGCGGCAAGGGTAGGAAGAGTCGGTGAATTTCTCTGTGCTTCTCCATGGGGTGTGATGATGATACCTACCCTAAAATTTTGAGAAGTAAATCGGTTCATTTATACAAAGTGGTTGTAGTTGTGTGGGTCCAGTTGGCGTTAGCTGCTATTGCTGTCTGACACTCTGTCCCCTCTCCCACAGCAGCCCAGTCAGCCCGTGTGCAGCCTGTAGGTGAGGCCACCAGGAAGAAGAGCCGAAGGGTCTGCAGGCCCCGCCCAGAAAGGGGAACCAAGGCCACCCTGGACATTCCAGATGAAGAGTTTAGGTTCAATTTCTTTTAGCCTCTCCTCCCATCCTGCAGCTGCCCCCCCCCCCCCCAGGGTGTAGGGGTTTGCCTGGAGCTCACTTAGTTGGAGGGATGTGGGGTTGGTCTGTTCACCTGGTGCCATGGCTGCTGGTCAGATGTGAGGCCAGCATATTGAATACTGTCTGACAAGCACAAGGCCCCATTTGTAGGTTTTCAGATGAATGGTTCCTGCTGCTAGAAGAGGGAGGTCTATTTAAAAGGCTTCTGCAGTAAACTGGTGTCAGCATGTTGCAGGAACGTCTTGCTCAGTTTTCAGGGTTAGATTATGTGGCTGAGGGTGAGAGGGAAGCTGCATAATTGCACATTGGTGCTCACTTAGGAAAGGCATGCTGTTACACTGGATGGTGCTTAGGTAAAGAAAAAAATAGTAAAAATAAAAACAAAACAATAAAAATGGATGAGAGAGTGTGTGCTAATTGCCTGTGTTAGACAAAGTGCAGATGATGCCAGTGTCGGGCACTGGAGTCCAGGCTCATCCCAGTGCGGTCCTTTGTGTTGTCTTCCTCCTGAGCAAGGGCCACCCGCAGGGAGCAGTGTGGCCCCACAGGCCAGCCTTTGTTGTGAGCTGACCAGGCCAGAGTCCCAGGGCTTGTGCTGCAGTGACTCAGGTTTTGCAGTTGTCTCAATCCTCAGTGGCTTTGATGCTGTCTTTCTTGGTCTCTCAAATTTGCATCCCATATTAGATAGATATCTTTTTTTTTAAAATATATTTTATTGATTTCTTACAGAGAGGAAGGGAGAGGGATAGAAAGTTAGAAACATCGATGAGAGAGAAACATCGATCAGCTGCCTCCTGCACATCTCCCACTGGGGATGTGTCTGCAACCCAGGTACATGCCCTTGACCGGAATCGAACCTGGGACCTTTCAGTCCGCAGGCCGACGCTCTATCCACTGAGTCAAACCGGTTTTGGCGCTAGATAGATATCTTAAAAAATACTAAAGAACATTCAGTTAGCCCCCAAAATCTCTGTTTTCTGTTTTTGTACCTGAAGTTTTTTAGAATTTATTGCAGTAATACTGGTTAATGAAATTATACAGCTTTTAGGTACATGATTCTACAACTTATCATCGGTACAACTGTATTGTGTGTTCACCACCCCAAGTCAAATCTCCATCACCATTTATCCGCCCCCCTCCATACTCTCCCACCTTCCTCCATCCCTCCTCCCCCTGGCAATCACCACACTGTCCAGGAGGCTTTTTTTTTCTTTTTTGCTCAATACCACCCACTTCAACGTCCAGCTTCCTCCAGGTCTCATCCTGACTGATGCTTGAGCCTCCAGGGTTAGTCCCAACACTCCGTGGAGTGATCTATCATGCCGGGTACTATTTCTCTCATCCATCACTTTATTATGCCCAGGACACAATGTGAAGGCTGGTGGGTGAGGCCTCACAGAGCGCCTGCACATTTTCATGCTCCTGACTGACATCTGATGTGGCCCCCTCCCCCTGTTCCAGTCTTGCTGCTCCTGAAGTAACCACATTAATCCTGCATCAAGGTCTTTACTGGCTTCTGGGAGAGTAAACAGCTTTAAGAAAGTAACTGCCCTGGACAGAGTTGCTCAGTGGTGAGTGCTCGCACACTAAAGGGTGGCTGGTTTGATTCCCAGTCAAGGGCATGTACCTGGGTTTCAGGTTTCACCCCCGGCCTGGAGGGGGCGTGTGCTCAGGAAGCAGCCAATCAAGTGTGTCTGGCATGGATGCTTCCCTCCCTCCCATTTTTAAAGAAAACAAAAACGGAGGGGCCCAGTTGAGCGCTGTGTCATGTTGCTGGGCTTCACAGAAAGTCCCCCTACCAGGTTGGACTTTGGGAAGCACAACACACTGGGAAAGTTGCCTTTGAAGACCAGAGATGGGAGTGTGCTGTCTGCCCTCTGTGAGCCACCGTCCAGCTGCCTTATCCATTTTTGTTGTTAATCCTCACTGGGTATTTTCCCATTGATTTTTAGAGATAGTGGAAGAGAGAGGGAAAGACAGAAACATCGATGTGAGAGAGACACATCCATTGGTTGTCTCCTGCAGAAGCCCCGGGCCCAGGCCGGAGAGGAGCCTGCAACCGAGGCATGTGCCCTTGCCTGGAATCGAACCCGGGAGCCTTCAGTCCACAGGCCGACCGTCTATCCATTGAGCCAAACTAGCTGCTCACACTTGGCTTTCCTTTGTTGCTGCGACTTTTATTTCTCAGGCAGGAGCCACAGCCACCCCTGCGTCTCTCCTGTGTCTTGTGTGCTGAGCCCTTTTGTGTGTTATATTCCCCAGGTTAAGTGAACGTTGCCCTAAAAATGATGTGTTTTAGCTGTAAGCACATGGCCCCGTGACTGGTATTGCGGCCGTCGACCGACCCTCTGCTGCTCTCTTGTGGCCATTGCAGAAAAACACACTGTGCTTCTGTCCTTGGTGCTGAAATTTCAGGTCCCAAAAAACTCGAAAAAGAAAACCCAGAGGCCCTAACTGGTTTGGCTCAGTGGATAGAGCGTCGGTCTGCTGACTCAAGGGTCCCAGGTTCGATTCCGGTCAAGGGTATGTACCTTGGTTGCGGGCACATCCCCAGTAGGGAGTGTGCAAGAGGCAGCTGAATCGATGTTTCTAACTCTCTATCCCTCTCCCTTCCTCTCTGTAAAAAATTAATTTTATATATATATAAAAAAAGAAAACCCAGAAAATCCTGGAGGCTTTCCGGTGCGGCAATCATTTCGTCGCTGAATGGACTGAAGTGACAGGTGTGATTTGTGACCTGTTTCCAGCCCAGCCCTGGCAAAGGAGGCCTCAGAGAGCGCTGCCCTGGCCTGGTGACGCGGTGCGTTCAGGATGTGAGCTCGTCCCCTGTAGGGGGCATTGTTGAGGCAGTGAGTCATTCCCCAGGAGGCCGCCATTGTGGAGCATCCAGTCTGTCCTTTAGAGTTGCAGGGGTATGGCGAGAACATGTTATTCCCGCGATGGTGAGCGAGAGGCGGCCATTGTTGAGGCCCCCAGTGACCTGGAAGCCGCTATGATTGAGGCAGGCATTTCCTTGGGGATGGCCATGCCTGAAGAAGCAGCCAGCCATCAGTCCCAGGGAGGCTGTCATGGCTGAGGGTGGAGCTAGACGCAGTCAGTTTTTATAATGGGAACGTGTTAGTTCCACTAGAAAAAGATTCTGCTGAATGGCTTGGTGCAGAAACCTTTTTAAAAAAATTTAGTAAAAAGTTATTTTTATTATTTTAGAAAGGGAGAGAGAAATATCCATGCTGAGAGAGAATCCTTGATGAGAGAATTCCCTGAAGTCACTGCTATGGCTGTGGGTTGTGCACCACTTGCATGTTGTGGACCAACATTCGCGAGTATAAGACCATCGACTCCAATTAGGTCTTAAACAGCAAGCGAGGATTTATTGAACTGGCCAGTGACTGCCACAGGCTTTCTCCTCCTGCAGCAGCTCTGAGCTTGGTGCTCGGCGAGGTTTTATTCACAGAAAACTACAACCGTCCTTGATTTACAGTTACAAGGGTCTAATTAGGACCTTGACGCGCAGATGTCTGGGAGTGGGAAACTTGGAGTTATGCCTGGTTACCTATCCTTGACCCCATCCTTGTTAAAAAGTTTTTAGTGACATTCAATTCATCACAGCACGTATATGCTTATGACACAAACCTTTCAAGAAGCTGTGAGCCAATTCCTTTGCAAAAAGTATCCTCTGCTCCCCTCTTGTGGCCTTTTAAAGAATAACACCTCCATCTTCTGTCCGTGCTGCTGAAATTTTAGCTAATGTTCTTTGAATTTGATGAAGACTTCTACTCAAAAAAACACAAACAGCCCTGACCGTTTTGACTGAGTGGATAGAGCGTCGGCCTGCGGACTGAAGGGTCCCAGGTTCGATTCCAGTCAAGGGCATGTACCTTGATTGCGGGCACATCCCCAGTAGGGGGTGTGCAGGAGGCAGCTAATGGATGTTTCTCTCTCTATCCCTCTCGCTTCCTCTGTGTAAAAAAATCAATAAAAATATTTTTAGAGAACCAAGATGGTGGCATAGGTTAACGCCGGAGTTTGCTGCCTTGAACAACCACTTCAAAAATACAACTAAAAGACGGAACGGACATCATCCAGAACCACAGGAAGGCTGGCTGAGTGGAAGTTCTACAACTAGGAGGAAAGGAAACCATACAAGACTCAGAGGAGGCGCAGTGCTGAAGTGAAATACTAAGGTGCGGAGTGCATGTGGAGTGGGCCGGTGGCGGAGGGTGCGGTTGTTGTTTTCAATCGGGAGGGAGTTTCAGACTCTGAGCTCCAGATCCGGGCGAGTCTCTAGGGACCCAGACTCAAATGGGAGAAGTGGAAAGGCAGCTTTCTCTCTGAGGTTTGCAGCGGTTGCAGAGCCGCTGGGGATGGAACTGAGAGCAGCCATAACTGCTCGCTCCGCCCGCCCTGTGGATCCCCTGGGACCCGCCCGGCCCAAGCCCTGCACAGAGGCATTTGCCAGATAGCCTCAGGCAAAGGCTAGATTAGCACCGCCCTAGAGATTCAGCACAGAAGCTCTCCCACTGCAGGCACAGCTGACTCTCATAGCCCGTTAGCCTGGAGGTCAATTCACCCCCAGTATTGCCGACCACAATCAAGGCTTAACTACAACAAGACTGCACACAAAGACCACAGGGGGTGCACCAAGAAAGCATAAAAAATGCGGAAACAAAAAAACATGACAGAAATGGAGGATATAGAGCTAAAAAACGCACTTTTAAGGGCTTTCAATAATTTGCTAGAAACTGCCGATAAACTTGATGAGAGCCTTAAGAAATCTAATGAGACCCTCGATGTTGTGATAAAGAACCAACTAGAAATTAAGCATACACTGACTGAAATAAAGAATATTATACAGACACCAACAGCAGACCAGAGGAGTGCAAGAATCAAGTCAAAGGTTTGAAATTCGAAGAAGCAAAAAACACCCAACCGGAAAAGCAAAATGAAAAAAGAATCCGAAAATACGAAGATAGTGTAAGGAGCCTCTGGGACAGCTTCAAGCGTACAAACATCAGAATTATAGGGGTGCCAGAAGATGAGAGACAGCAAGATATTGAAAACCTATTTGAAGAAATAATGACAGAAAACTTCCCCCACCTGGTGAAAGAAATGGACTTACAGGTCCAAGAAGCGCAGAGAACCCCAAACAAAAGGAATCCAAAGAGGACCACACCAAGACACATCATAATTAAAATGCCAAGAGCAAAAGACAAAGAGAGAATCTTAAAAGCAGCAAGAGAAAGAAACTCAGTTACCTACAAGGGAGTACCCATACGACTGTCAGCTGATTTCTCAACAGAAACTATGCAGGCCAGAAGGGAATGGCAAGAAATATTCAAAGTGCTGAATATCAAGAACCTACAACCAAGATTATTTTATCCATCAAAGCTATCATTCAGAATTGAAGGTCAGATAAAGAGCTTCACAGATAAGGAAAAGCTAAAGGAGTTCATCACCACCAAACCAGTCTTATATGAAATGCTGAAAGGTATCCTTTAAGAAGAGGAAGAAGAAGAAAAAGGTAAAGATACAAATTATGAACAACAAACATGCATCTATCAACAAGTGAATCTAAGAATCAAGTGAATAAATAATATGATGTAAAGAATGAACTGGTGATTGTAATAGAACCAGGGACATAGAAAGGGAATGGACTGACTATTCTTGGGGGGGAAAGGGGTGTGGGAGATGCGGGAAGAGACTGGACAAAAATCATGCACCTATGGATGAGGACAGTGGGTGGGGAGTGAGGGCGGAGGGTGGGGCGGGAACTGAGAGGAGGGGAGTTATGGGGGGAAAAAAAGAGGAACAAATGTAATAATCTGAACAATAAAGATTTCATTAAAAAATATTTTTAAGAAAATACAAACAAACCAACAAAGAAAGACCACAGAAAACCGTAGAAAATGATGGAGGCTGTCCAGGGTGCCATTCTTTTTTCCCTGGATGGACTGAAGTCACGGGTCTGGATTTTGCACCCGTTCGGGTACCATCCCTGGAAAGGGAGGCCTTGACTGCTGCAGTGACACGGGGAAGCTGTGCGTTCAGTATGTCAGTCCGTAACCTAGAGGCTGCCATGATTGAAGCAGTCAGTTCTGGGGAGGCCACCGTTAACCATGCTGCCAGTACTGGACAGGTCACCTTTACTGAGGCAGCCAGTCAGCCGGAGGCCGTTGTGATTGCGGCAGCCAGTCCCTTGGATGACCCCATTATGGAGGCAACCAGACTGTGCAGTGAGGTGCAGGGGTATCGGGAGAAGGTGTTATTCCCGCTCGACTCAGCGGCCCCTGGAGAGGCCTCGTTTACTGAGGCAGCCAGTCCCCTGGAGGCTGTAATGATGGATGCAATGAGTAGCCTAGAGGTGGGCAATCCTGAGGCAGTCGTTCCCCTGTAGCTGCTATTATTGATGCCATCAGTACCAGGGAGGCTGTGATTGTTGATGGCACCTCCAGATGCAGGGTTCTCATGGGAATGTGTTCTTACCACGGGAAAGAAATTCAATGTAAAGTTTTTTGTAGAAACATAGTGAGTTTTTTAAAACTATTTTTTACTGATTTCAGAGATGAAGGGAGAGGGAGGGAGGGAGGGAAGGAGGGAGGGAGGGAGGTGGAAACATCAATTATGAGAGAGATGGAAACATCAATTATGAGAGAGAATCATGGATTAGCTGCCTCCTGCCCCCCCCCCCCCCCCACTGGGGATCGAGCCCAGAAGCAGGGCATGTGCCCTGATTGGGAATCAAAGCAGGGACCTTTCAGTTCGCAGGCTGTCGCTCCACTGAGCAACAGCAGTCAGGGCTACAGTGTGTTCTTTAGAAATATTTATCTGTCCTATTTCTGAAAGGAAGAGAGAAGCATGAATGATGAGTGATGATCGTCGATTGGCTGCCTTCCTTGTGCAAGAAGAAAGAGTGACATGTGTTGTCATCTGCTAAGCAGAGGAATAGGCCCTGGCCAGTGTTGTTCGCCGGTTAGATGTTCAGGGAAGGGTCGCTGGCGGGATTCCTGGTCCAGAGCACCTACGTGGGATGCATGTTTCATCGCCTGCCCCGGTCTGGGCTCCTGTGGGAGCCAAAGATGTATGTGTCTGTTGCATACTCATGTTTGCTTGTTTGTTTGCTCTCTCTCCTCCCGCTCCCTCCCTTCCACGCTCTCTAAGAAAATGAATGGTGAAAACATCTCCTCTGTAAAGAATTAAGCAAAACATACACACGAAAAAAGTACAAAGAAGGAAAAGATCTGGAGGGTGTGAAAAAGCAGCATACCTACCACTAAAGACAGGCACCATGATGAGCAGAGCATTCAGCTCCGCTGATGTTTTTCCACGTGATGTGTGTATAAGATAAAAATAAAATGTTCGAGTGTCCCTCAGGTGCCAAGTTCCTGACACAACATGACAAGACCACTCTAGCAGGGTCCTTGCAGGGTCTCCTAAGCCACCACGTCGGGGGCAAGGCCAGGAGGAGCAGGGGAAAGCGAGGTGTGAAGGAGGTGGGAAATGGACAGAGGAGGGTCCTGCAGGTGTTCCCGTCTAGTGCCTTGTGTCGCTGCTCCCAGAGTCACCGCCACAGAGAAGATGCGAGCAGACTCAGCTGGTGTCAGTGACCGAGGGACACACAGACTGAGGGACACACAGACCTAGGGACACACAGAGCGAGGGCCAGACACACCATGGAGGCCGCAGTGGCTGCAGAGGTGACATCCGGTAACGTGTGGCCACTGTGCGGGTTCCTCGTATCGTTCCGGAGGTACCTTGTCAGTGTTTTTTGACTCCCGAAGCCTGTATTTCATTTCCCCACACAGCCCCTACTTCATGGTGACTCTGTCCAAGACAGAAGACCTGTTTGGACATCCATGTACACAACAGTTGTTTGTTTGGGAAGTGATGTGAAACTTGTTTTATGTTGTTCTTATCTGAAAAATCAATGAGAGCCAAGCAGTTATGTGTTTGATGTATTATACATTTGTATTCTAGATAGATTTTATTTTAGAAAATGACATTTCTTATACAAAGCTGCCTTTGTAAGTGTAATTAAATGAGCATGTTAAAAACTTTGTAAGTGTGAAGAGATCAACCGAAGGACTTGTATGCATGCATATAAGCATAACCAATGGACATAAGACACTGGGGGGTAGGGGAGGCCAGGGGATTGTCAAGGGCGGGGAAAAAAAGGAGACATATGTAATACTCTTCGTAATACTTTAAGCAATAAAAGAATTAAGAAAATAAAAAACTAAAAAACTTTGTAAGTGTGGATGTCTCACTTGGCAAATGTTTAGAATCTTGGTCAGTATGAGTGTGTATCGCTGCCCACTGAACTGTTGGGGGTCATGTGTTGGGAGCCCAGCCGAATCTTTGCGAGCTCCATGACTGTCCCCGTTGTTGAGACAGCCTGCATGGTTTTCCCTTCATTGTATGTTATGAAGCACTAGGCAGAAGGTAGAAGTAGAGTTGTGCCGGGGTCCAGGCCCAGAGGTGCAGGGGTCCGCCAAGGTGTGGACAGCATGGGCGAAGAATGAAGGCCACGGAGACAGCGTTGAGCTGATCAGCATAATCAGGTTCTGTGTTTATTGCCCTGTTCCAAGTGTGTTTATAGTATTTGATTCTAGAAGCATGTGTCCATAGTTACATCATGGTATGTTTTGTCTCCTCCTTTGACCTGTTAAAGTTTCTTGTTTTATGTTTAGAGTTTCTTATCTGACCTTTGGTAAAAATGTCATTTCTGTTTAGCTCTGCTGATTTTAATGTTATTTATTGTCTCTCTTTGTCCATTCCATTGTAAAGGTTAGTGTGTGTGTTCCATGATCAGGGCTAGTTTGTTATTTGTATTTTATGGTTCCTATTGTATTGCTGCAGTGTGAAGGTATAAGGCCAAACCTGAAGGAGGTTTTCGTATTGTCTGTCATAAGTCCAGGTTGTGTAGTTCAAGCATGATTGTTGTTAGGTATGGTGATGAACGACCTGCCTGGCAGTTCGTTGAAGTCTTTGTGGTTGCCTAGGTGGCCTAAGATTTTTAGATAAGGAGGCTGGCTGCATTGTTTGCAGTGGTATTTCTTTAAGTGATAGTTTTCCTTTTAGGCTTTGTGGTGGTCTTCCCTGGAACTGCCGTGCGTTGGCGGTTTTTAGGGGTGTAGGGTTTGGTCTTTTCTCTGGTGGGTAGACCCTGAGGATGTGGGCCTAGGAAGTCCTAAATGTATTGGTAACAGTCTTCGTCTGATTTCCTCCTAAGTGGCATAGTGTATTTCTGTCCCATGAGGCGGTTGTAGTGATTTTCTTCCCTTCTTCCCTGCATATGAGTGTTCCATGTCCCATTTGATGCCATTTCCTTTGCCATCTGCAAAGAAACCCTCCCCAGAAGCAGCTGGTCCGAAGAGTTGGGACTGGTGGGATCAGCTGTAAGAGAGTTGTGGGGAATGCTGAAGTATGCAAGAGAGTAGAGAGTGTGATCAGGTTTTTGAGGGGACATTGTGGAAAGGAGGAGATGTTTGTGTTTCAGAGCAGGTGAGTGGATCCCCTTTTTGTTGCACAGCCTCCAAAGGTGGTGTTGTTGTGTCAGTGGCCAGTGAGTGCCATGAGATCCTGGGTGAGAAGGACGTGTATGAGAGACCATGAGGTACGCAAAGCTTGGTGCTTCATTTGGACTTGGCTCCCCCTGGTTTGGCAGCAGGCCCAGGTGTTTGCACGTGGATTTATCTCAGCAGCATGGACAGACAGAGACACAAGAGCTGTCGTCGAGGTTCCTGATGAGGAATTTTCCTAATAGTGTCATGCTGTTGTGCATATTTCAATTCCAAGGGGCGTATGCCCATTTGGAATGACTGTTTTAGAGACGGAATGACCCAATGTTGTTATTGTAGCCATTTTTTGTATCATGTATTTCCAAAACGTAGTGAAAAGAAGACGACGTAGGATGCCCCCATGTTTTGATTGTGAAAGATGTGTTGTGTTTCCTCAGTTTTTTTCACACACCGTTACTGATTTTGGTTTTGGAAGTGTGCTGGCTTGAGAAAGTTGATGAATGAATAAGCACCAGTTTCTGCGTCTAAAAGTTCCCTTTAGGATGGGCAAAGGCCTCTAGCAAGTGGTGGCAAGAGGTGCAGGAGAACATGTGTATTTATAGTCCAGGTGACTGGGAACGGTTTGAAATGGACCCTTGCAAACGTGAAGAGAAGCAATAGTGGGTGTTTGTCAATGGTAGAGCATCAGCCTGTGAGAAGAAGTTCTCAGCACTGTGTAGTGAAACAGACAGCAAGGAATGTATTAGGCAGGGAGGGTGCTCAGTCACTTTCCAGGCCACGTCAGTGCAGCAGTGTGTGAGGAACCCCTTGTCAGTGCTGGAAGGGAAGTGGTGCAGACCCAGAGCCTTGAGTTCATTCCGTCCCGGGATGGCATGATGGGTGCCCTGGACAGCATGGCTGAAGTGTGGTTGTCGTTTTTGGTCACGGTCCCATGGCTTTAGCTGGCAGGTCAGCATCACGGGCAGAGGCACAAGGTGTTGTTCCTTGAATGGCCCAGTGAAGCCTCCCTTTGATTCCCAAAGGAATCGTCGTGAAATTGGTGAGTGAAGGAGTTTGACAGTGGAAATGACAAGTGTGCCATTTTCCTCTGTTCCAGGTTCTTAGATGTTTATGTTAATGTGGAGCCTCACGGGAGCTGTGCTCATGCCCTCTTTCTCCTGTTGGACCCCCATGGTTCCTTTTTTGGTTGTCATAGTGTGCTTTTGGCTGCTGTTTAGATGTTGTTGTGTTTTTCATGCTGTGAGTTGTTTGTCATTGACTTGTTGAAAACACTGAGACCTCCTGTATGTATTGATGTATGTGTCTCTCTCCTTTTTCCTGTTGCAGGCTTTGAAGAAGATGTTGGTGAGAGCTTGCAAGTTCCAGATCTTTTAAAAAGCATATTATATCAATTTTTCACCTAGAGGAAGGGAGAGGGCTAGAGAGTTCTAAACATGGATGAGAGGGAAACATCCATGAGCTGCCTCCTGTGTATCCCGTACTGGGTATGTGTCCGCAAGCAAGGTTCATGCCCCTGACGGCTGAGCGGTTAGAGTGCCAGCCGGTGTGAGGCTGAGAGTGAGGTTATCCGCGCTTGCAGGATGTGAGGAGAGCCCCCATCACCCCCCCAGGTGTGATGCGGGAGGTGCCAGAGTGTCCTGGGGGAGTGGCGGGGCCCCAGGTGAGGCCGCTGAGGCTTGGGTCCCCTTTGTTGGTGTGACTTTTGTCTGTGTGTCCTGTGTGTTGTGTGCTGAGTGCTGAGCCCTTTTGTATGTCCCATTCCCTGGGTTGAGTGAAGGTTGTCGTAAAAATGACGTGTTTTAGCTGTCACTATATGTCCCCGTGACTCGTCTTGGGCCTGTGATCCCAGGTGTGGTGTGGGTGTTTGTGGGGTTTTGTTGTCTCCTCCTTATTGTCTGTGAAGCGATTGAAGATGAAAGGGTGGAAACGTGTGGCTATTTTAAGCTTTGAAGTTTGCCAAGAGTCCAGACTGAGCTTGTGGATGTGAAAGTTGTATTGACTGTAGGAAAG